GGGCGCCCGGGGGGGCGCGGCCCCGGGCGCCCCCCCCCCCCCCGCCCCCCCCCGGGGAGCCGCTGCTGGGCCGCTTTGGCAGCGGGCCCCAGGAAAAGCCCGCGCGGCAGGATGCAACCGCCTCTTGACACACAAGCACAGCGGCTTTGCCAAAGACCTCTCCAAGGTGAGCCACGCTTCTCTGCCGCGGCAAAGCCCGTGGGCGCTAGCAGGAATCTCCCTCCTCCTCCTCTGGGAAATCGGCCTCTCCACAGGGCAACACGAGGCGCCCTTATTCCCGCCGCTCCGTCCCTCTCGCACCACTGCTCTGCCCAGCCAGTTCAACCAGCGCAGCCGCGGCGACGGCCGCCAAGAGCCGGCACCTGCCTTTGGCACCCAGCAGCCTCCTGCCTCTCTCCCAGACGCCGGGTCCCACTGCCTTCCCCAGGGTGGAGCTGGACATCTACAAGAAACGGGCTCCCGCGTACACCATGGGAACCAAAACCGGACTTGGAGGTGACCAAACGCCAAAGCCGGGGCCGGCAGACTACTGCCTGGGAAAGGTAAGGCAGCCTGCCCGCCGCTCCTCCTCGGCTTTGCCACAACCAGCCCTTAAGCATCTCCCCCTTCCGACGGGGCTTCTGGGAACGCTCTTGCCTCCCCGTTCCTCCCGAAGAGGGCAGCGTCCCACAAGCGTGCCCGCCGGACCGGGAGGCCGCTACGCGGGCCCAGGCAGGCGCACGGCAGCGCACAGCAAATGCACGCGCATCGACTGGTGATGCCGGCCGGCCGTCGCCGAGGCCAAGCCCTCCTGAGAGCCAGGCGCCACGGGCACAAATTTTTCTTCTCCCTTTTCCCCTTCCAGGTGACGCTGATCAGGCCCCGGGCACCCGCTCCCACTGTCGGACTCTGACATTCCCTCTACACAGCCCCTCTCCCCGCGGGTGTCTGACCCGCTCACATGCTGCGCTGGGAAACCCCGCTTGCTGCATCCTCCTGCTTCTTTGTTGTTGTTGATGTCACATAATACAGGAACGTACATTTGAACACCTGGAATTTGCGTTTCGTATCTTATTTTCCCGCTCTCCCTTAATCCACGTGTTTGTTCCGGGGGAGGGCGAGCTGGGCCCAAGAGGTCTGTGCCGCAACCTCAGTGCGGAGGGCAGTGAGAGAGCAAAGCTCTCGTTTCAGTCGCTCTGGCTTCTCCAGTCGAGGGACCCCCTGTCTGCAACACCCTTCTTTTTGTTCACTATTACTTTACAGCGATCAGTTATTAAGCAGGGAGAGGCAGAGGAAAATAAAGGTATTCAGCGAGTGGTTCCTGGTACCCTGACGTTTGGTGTCTTGCCAGCTCCTGACAGACGGGGAATCCCTAGATTTATGTTGCCTTAGGAATTGACAAGGCTCTGAGTCTGGAACAGAAACAGTAGCAAAACGTTTACAAAAAGATCAAAGATACAAATACATTAAAAAAAACCCCTCTGCTGAAATTGAAGGAGCTGCTAAGCCCTTCTGAGGATGAGTATGTATTTGGCTTGGCCCCAACCTGCAAGTTGCCACAGCAGCTTCTTGGGAAACAGCAGAAAATCCATGTGAAAAGTAAGCAAAGCAACTGCCGCCTGGGGAGCCCGTGCGCGCGCACCCATCCAGGGAGGAACCAAGGCTCGGAGCTCGGACCGGTTCCCGGGAGAAAAACATTTCTAGAGGATTTTCTTTCTCCCTCCTTCGCTTTTACGCACGCAGCTGCAGCTGGAAAAGCGGTCAGCACGGGGAGAAAGCTGCCTTGGCTGGGGCGCGATGCCCTCCGGCCGCAGAGCCGGATTGCCGACCCACGCGCCTGTGTGCGGGCGCGGCGGGGGAGCCCGTACACATAACAGCGCTGCTGGTTGGCCTCTGTCAGAACAAACAGCATCTCCGCCTGACAGCAAGGAGGAGAAAACAAGACCTTTATTTATCAAAACAGAGGACAGAAGCAGTTTTAAAGCATCATCCGAATTTGATTTAGAACTCCGTGTTACCTCTGAAGAAGGCAGATCTAAACTCGACTGCAGGTGACCGGCTGTAGCACCCAGCCCACGGCGCAGAAAAACCCCTGCCAGCACCTGGGTGTCTGCCTTTTGTCGTCGTCGTTTCCCAGAGGCGCTGGGCGTCAGCAGCTGGAGGCGGTGGAGAAGCGTTGTCAGCGGCTGGGTCCGATGTTTGTCCATTTAAGCCTCTGCCCGCACGAGTCTCTGCAAGAGCAAGCGGGAGCAGTGAGTGCAGGCTGCCCAACGGCTCGGCGGCTGGGGGCCCCGGCGGGGCTCGGGTGGGGCCAGCGGCTCCGGCTCCCTCCCGCCGGCGCTCCCCGGGCCAGGACGTGCCGCCAGGCCCCGCGCGAACGCCAGCACAGAGCGAGCGTTGCCTGCGCCCAACCCTTGCTCGTACCCAGCGCTCGCTTTCGCCCTGGCTCCGTTCCGAAAAACGCACCTGCGTGAAGCAGGCGCCTTCCAGCGGGCGGTCAGCGCGCCCGTCCGCTCTGGGCGACAGGAGAAAGGATTGTGTTTGCTGTGGAGCCATCGCTTGTGAACGGTCTCCCAAAGCGTGTGGGAGCTTTGTGCGGGCGTGCAACGGAGCCCGGGGCCGAGGGGTGCTCAAGTTAGGGTGTTTGGGTGCTCCGTGCCCAGAACGCGGTACGAGGCTGCAGAGTTAGAGGCGTTTCTGGGGACAATAAAAGGACTGAATTACCAGCAGGGCGAGGAGGGCCTTCACGTGCTGAGGAGAAAGCCCGTCGATACATTCCTTCAGTGCGGTCAGAGCAGCTCTGGTCACATCATCGACTTTATAGTGAGAAATTGGCCCGGCGTACAGCTGCTCCGCAGAGCCTTCAAGCAGCGTCTGGAGAAAGCTCGGGACAATCTCATGAGCAGAGCCCGCTCCTGGGGTACGAAAGACAAAGTGGAGTGCAATGAGCAAACCCTTCACCTGCTCGGATCCAGCTTCTGCCCCCTAACGCCCTCCGCCCCCCGGCGACGCACAAGTCGCACTGAGTTTTTGCAGAGCGCGTTCCCAGCTTTGCAGGGCCGGTTTTTAAAGCTGTCAGAGAAACAGGTTGCCACTGCAGGAGCTGCTCTGCGGCACAGGTCCCTGGGTGGAATCCCACCGGTCACGGACAAGCTTCTGCCTGCCTGGTCCTCAGCCCTCCTCTCTTCTCTCTTCTCCTCTCCTCTCTCTGGACCCAGCTTCTTCTCAGGCTTTGTGGGATTTTTTTTCTCTTTTCCATGCGCCTTTGCTCCTTACCTGATTCCCTGTTCTCTAACCAGATACCAAAAACCATTCGGCTCCCTTCTCTGAATATGTCTGTGTATTCGTCACCCAGGCTGTCTGTAATATTCAGTAATTACATTTTTTCTCCGGTCTCTGGAATTGTCAGCATTTTAGATGAAAGTAAACTGAAAATGTTTCTACTCTCTTAATCTCTTTTCTTCAAGTCCACATCTTGTCGCCTTCTGAAGTCGTACCTACACAACTGCCTAAAAGGGCTGATTTTGAATTTACACTTAACGTGCTGTTCTTCCAAGACCTTGCTGGGTTTTCCAGGGCTACTCGTGCAACTTGATCTCCTTTCCATATTCTCTTTGTACGAGTTGTCTTGATTTAATCACTGAGCCTTGACTGAAAAAAAAGAACAATCATCAGTCTGCTAAGTTCTGTCCCTTCTAGTAAAATTCTGGGGTTTTTCCTCCTTTTATTGTCATCCTTGTTCTTAATTTATGAGGTTTAATGTGAGAGTCACATCGATTGAAATCCATTTACTTTACCTGCTTTTATAAAACCCTTAGGTTCTTCAGCTGACGAGGTAACGTACGGAGTACAGCCTGCTCCTGCCCACCCGGCCGTTCCTCCTACGCTAACTGCTGGCAGCGCCCTCCCGGCTGATAACCTGGGAGCGTTAACCAGGCTGCGAGCCCGCCACCACCCCCTCAACAGGCTGCGTTACGGCTGGGTCCACAGGCGTTTTCACCTTCCAAGTTTACGTCTTTCCCCATGTTTATTTTCTGGTTTCTGGCCCTTTGGCCTCCGTGTCGCCTCAGAGGAGGCTCCCTTGTGGGCTCAAGGAGCCAAGCCTGGAGGTAATGGTAGGTAATGGTAGTAGTGACCCAGCACTAAATAACAGAGTCACGTTGGGTTCTTTTGCTTACGGCTGAGTCCCCACACCTGATCGAGTCGCTGGAGCCAGCAGGACGGATCGTCTGATCTAGCGTAGGCGCCGGGCTGCCATGAGGTGCGTCGTCACCGACTCACCCAGTCCATCGAGTCGAAGGAGAGCCAGGGTGGGTACGCGAACACTGGCCGTCACCGTGCAGAGACCAAACTGAGCGGGTGAACCCTGCTGTAAGTGTCCAAGTGAAAAAAAATCTCGGAGACCTTCCACAAGCTGCTGGGGTCGGTATTTTCTTGGAGGCTGGGTAGCTGAATTTCCCTGTCGTCACCAAAGCCTTCGGTGCTAATCGAGGGGGCAGCGTTTCTGCCGGCAGGGACACGGCGTGCTTTCTCGGCAAATTTTAAACGAGGCATCAAGATGCCTTTCAGTTGCTTCCTAGAGTAGTTTCTACCAGGGGTTTTAATGGCACTCTGAATAGTTTGAATACTTTGTGCAGAAGTTTAATGAGTTCAAGGTTATAAAAAAAAAAAAAAACCATTAAAAATTTAAAATTCTATTTTTTTAATTGGCAAAACTTACCAAGGGAGCTGCAGAGCACCACGGCGACGAGGAGAGCAACAGCCAGCTTCATGGCAGAGCGCACCGTTCTCCGTCTGTTGTGTGCCGAGCTGGGAAGGCCAGCGAGCGCCCTTTGGAGCCAGCGCAGGGACCTGGGTATATATGTGGGGAACGGCGCAATGCGAGGGGAGGAATGGGCCCAACAGGTCACGCAGCTGCGCTAAAACTGGGTCCAGGTCATGCTTGTTTATGAAGTGAGCAGATGACAAATGTGGGTGACCTCTGCTTTCCTCGGCTGCTGCTGTGGGACCTGGAACAACGGACATCGCGCCCCGTCAGCGAGAGTTCGCGCTGACATTAGGCGTGGGGCGCGTGGGCTTGGGAGCTCAGCACGAGGAGTGAGATTGCTCTGTCCCTGGAAGATGCAGAACCGCAAAATCGGCAGCCAAGATCCTGCATCAAACCATTTTATCCAAGGCGCTTTCAAGCTCATTTGTTCCAGCCTTCTGATGTGATTTCATGCAGAACTGCTGCCACTTCTCTTGCAAGAGAATAATTATTCTTCTATTGTTTTCCTTGCTTCTCTTCTATAATTCCAGTTCTGCAGGGACTAACGTGTCTTTTTAAGTATCATGATCTGTGGTGGCCTAGGGGAAAAAAAAAAAAAATATATATATATATGAAAAATAGGCTGATGCATGAATGACAATAACCACACGTTAAGGAAGACCATCTTTCATAGCTTCTATACAGCTTAGCAGCTGCTCTCAGCCAAGTGTGCACTGCTGAGGCACGGAGAAATTGCCTCCGTGAATGCCCAGCTGGCAGCTGCATCGGACACGTTGATAATCTTCGGAATAATATCACAGCGTCACTCCTGAACTTAAAAAAAAGTGAAGCACGTTTTTAAGGTAAAAATTAAAGGCCTGTTGGCCAGCTGAAGCAACGTGCGGCGCAGGTGGCTGGTTCTTGAGTTGCAGACCTAACGCTGCTGCTCTCCGAAGGCGCCCGCCGTGCCCTGGCACCCCCGGCAGCACCGCTGCAGGAGGCCGGAGCAGGGCCGCCTGCGCAGTCCCACCCAGCCCGGCTCTCCATCGCGTTTCACCGAGGGGGCCTGGCCTCCCGAACGCAAAACGACCACGGAGCATCGCAGGCTTCCCGGGGCGCGGGCTGAGCCCGTGCTTCGCCTTGGGGCTGTTCGGTTTCTAAGCTGCAAGTTCAAGGAATTCAATTTGAAACGCTCCCGGGAGGTTTTACCCCCGGCTGTCCTGGCAGGAGCTTGTCCTCATCTTTGCATCCCTGGAGCTGACGCCCCTGGGAGCGAACAAGGGTGCCCCTGAAAATGAAGGGTTTTTTTCATGCTCTTCTGGTTTTAAACAAAGAATGTATATAATTCTAGTTTAAGAGTGTGAATTTCTGATTTGCCTCGATTAGCGACAAGCAGCTCAGCAAGGGCTGTGATGAGTGGGAGGGGAGCGGATCCTTCCCTGGCGTACGCGGCCCGTTATTGTCTGCTTGCTGGAAGACACGCAGCGCCCGTCCCCGCTGCGGGGACCCGCCAGCGCTGTGGGACGACGGCACCGCACCCAACCCGCCCGCTTTTCTTGCTTTGAGTACGTTCGGACTCTGCGCATAGGCAATTCTCCAGGTGCAGGTTGCCGGGAGAGCTTTTGGAGTCTCCGTCCTTGGAGGTACTCCCTACGTTCCCAGCAACGCTCCCTCCTGTGACAAACGACCCGAGGAAAGAGAGTGCTTTGCATTGGCTTTGCAAAAATCCATCGCGCTTTTCTTCGAGAATGATTCCTGTTTTCTCTTCGTTGCGCCTAACGTAGCGTAACCGAGTGACAGCTGCCGGGGCATCGCACTTGTTCGCCTGATAACTACAGGGAGGATGATCTCAAAACAAATGATCGAACCCTACATTTGAATAAGATTAACAAACAAAGGCAGTTATTTATTCTACTCTATTGTAGATGAGATGTATTTGGATGAAAATAAGCTTCTAGAGTCCCTGAAGAGACCTGTGACAGCCCTGGAGGGAGGAAACAGTATTTGGAAATACGTATCCCTTGGCAAGGGCTGCTAATCGGGATTTCCCTTGTAAGCTACTTAATGTCATTTGGGGGTTTGTCTAAAAGTGTTTGTTTTTCTTGTTTTCCTACTGCTGGCAATATTGTCAGCAATCAGGTCACTAGAATCCATTTTAATTAATAATAATATTTTCAGGCTGATCCCTGAACAGTCAGAAGATAAAGTCTGGGTCCAAACTTTCTCGGAAAGGCCCCCGCGTACTTTGGAGCGCGTGCTGTGGCGTGCCAGCCCCGGGAAAGCTGGCCTCTCTCCCCGTGCGCGCGGGGGAGCGACAAACGGGGGACGGTGAGAAGGGGAGGACGTGAAAGCGAGGGGAGTTAGCACCTGGTTTACGGAACAGCCTTCCCTCTGACCGGCAAAGCCCCTTTGCAGACAGCAGGGTTTTCTTGCCTGAGCGGCGCCGCAGCCGGGCCACCGCCTCCCTTCTCGGCCACCGCTGAAGTCTGTCTGGCACCACGTTCCCGGGGGACGTCCCGCCTGGGCTCCGCGGCTCCCTGTGCGAGGGGGAAGGGGATAGTGACAGCTAAGAGAAAGGCTTGGCAGGGCTGCAAATCAAGGACAGCACCTCGTGCTGTTCTGACGCTCCTGTAGCCTTGGTTTGAGTCTTTCCACCATGAATAAGGCTTGAGATTTAGCGAGGCTGTAGGCAGATCCCTTGGGATACACGTGCTGCCTTCACGGCCACCTGCCAGCTTCGCTGCTGTCCGTCCCTTTCCTTCCCTGCAGCACTGTCGTGCTCCCCAAGCCGTTGTGCCGCTGTTCCGACCCTGCTGCGCCCGTTTGCAGGTTATGGATTGGATTTTGCAGGTCATGGAAAGGATTACAGCTGGACGCAACCGCGACGGTTACCGTCATCTGCTCCTACTGTTAAGACACAGGCAAGTTTTAACAAATTTGCTGTTGAAAACACTGTGGTCCGTGAAAGCAGGTGACGAATGATGTTTTGTTGGGTTGTGTCTCTTGGCTGGCGCAGGTTGGATAATCTGGAAAGCACGCAGATAAAAATCTTAACTGCTTAATTCTCATTTATAACCCAAACATTGAAGGATTTAACTGTTGGCCTCTCTTACCACAGATCAGTACCGAAGCGAGTTTGCACGATGACTTCTGCGGCTCCTCTGTCTGGGCTTTCCTTCCTTGTCCGCAGGCAGCCGGGGCAGAGCGGGGGAGAGTTTGCGTTGGGTGGCTGGGCTGAGCCCCAGCTCGGGGCTGGGCCAGCAGCGCGGGCTGGAGAGCACGCAAGGTGAGACCCCCTGTAGCCGCAGCTCTAGGGCACGTACCCTCATTTCTAGGAATCCTTCCTGCTTCCGCTTTGTGGAAGGGACCCTGCAAATAAAGCTGTTGTGCTTCAGCGACAGCATTGACGAGCTCGGGAGAGGGGCACCGCTCCCCACCTGGCCAGGTAAGGGGCTGACTTCCACAGCAGCGCAGAGCCTCGTGCCCCATTTCCATGCTTTCTGCGGTTGCAGAACTCTCTCACCTCTCGGGAGGGGAAAGAACGCACGCACTTCGCTGTCCCCATGGAGTCCTCCTGGCAGCGGTGCCCGCGTGGTTCTCACTTTGTACCGCACAAACATTAAGCTAAACTTAATGGGTTTTTTTGTTTCCCTTTTATTTCTTATTTTCTTTCCAGGTGCATACAACCTGCACGCTTCTGCAACCATTCTGGGTGCCGCTCTCGGGTGTCCGCAGGCACGCGCAGCTCAGGCTGCGGCAGGCTGGTCCCGGGCGCCAGGCGGGGCCGTGGCTGCAGAGCACGACGTTCGCCGAGGGTCGGAGGCGACAGGGGAGCCCCCAGGCCTTCACGGGAACGCGCAGCTCGACCTTCCGACAGGACATAAGCCGAGACCTGCAACCGCCTTATTAGCGAACGTTTGAGGCTAAAGGCACACAGAAAAAGGCTGAACAAACACAACGTTCTCCAGGCAAGCAGCAGCAGAACCTGGCTTGACCTGCCCCAGGGGGATTGTTCGTCTGTTTGCTGTTCCCGGGGTCGGTGCTGGGCGCAGCGCAAACACGCGCTGGAGGAGAGGCACCACCTGGGCTCAGGGCAGGAGCGGGCGAGGCGGAGGCGGCGCTCCTGGCACCGCCAAACGGAAAGTTACAGGCAGAAACGCAAGAAGCCGATTTCACCAGGGCACGCGGTTGCTTCCCGCCGTCATTTCAAGAGGGGGAGGCGACGAACCCGCGCTCAGGTCCCCGTGGAGAGCCCTCTCCCCAGCCCTCTGCCACCCCCCTGAACCAGGCCTGCGGCAACACCCAGACCGCGTTTCCGACCACCCTGCAACCTTTTCGTGCTTGCTCGGCTGCCAGCTGCGGTTTAGTGCCGAGCAGGTGGGGGCTGCCTCGGACGGGGCCGTTCTCCTCGGGCACGGCCACATCCTCCGAGGCAGGAGGTCCCAGAAAGGCACCAGCCACAAAACGCCGCCGCTGTGCTCCAGCTGCGGAACAGCCACACGTGCTAGGTTTAATGTCATTCAAAGGAGAAAGGATACCCAGCTGTCTGATATCGGAAAGGGAATGCCAGAGTAAGTCCTAAGTGTACGTGGGCAGAGGCAACGGGAACCGAAGCTCGGTAAGGCTTTGGCTGGGATGCCAAGCTCTCATGCATGCTTAGAAGTGATTTTTAGTAGTTCTATTTACTTGAAACTAGCTTTTCTTGCTAGATTTCCAGCACCTCTGAGCCCAAACAGGATTGGGATCCCACCTGAAAACAAACCTGGAGGAAGTGCTTTGCAACGACAGTGATCCCGAGGACGTGCTGAGGCCCTGGCTCACGTTCCTGGTCCTGATCACGTGCTACTGAGACCTGGTAAGAAAAGTCCCTGTCTTTTTTTCTTTTCTTTTTTAAAGTGCTCTAAACAAAGCTGAACCACGACAGCTTAGCTCAGAGGGGCTCGCTGCTTTTTCTACGTACCTGCTGAAGTCTGCAAGACATCGTCCCACTCTGCTTACCTTCGAGGAGGAGCCTGGAGCATCTGA